TATAATATAAATAAGAAATTAAAGATAAATAAGATATATAAGATATATAAGATATATAAGAAATTATAGATCGCTAAAATCGCTAAGAAATTAGAGAAATCATAGAAAGTTGAGATCCATGATCGACAGGATCATCATTCGCTAATTGTAATTGATGCAGTATTAATGCGTCATAACTAGACTATCACTAACAATGTGTCTAAAAGTATTTATCTTTGTTATAAAGTTATAAAGTTACAAAGTTAAAACTCGTGTTACAACATTTACCAAGTGATAAACTTAAAGGTTGATCGTGATAGAACTTATTTCATAGTAATCTTAGATTAATTACACATATTACTCCCTGTTATCAAGTCATTGTTACCCTAAGTTCAACGGTTGAGCATAGGTTAATACCATCTTAAATCAAATATTTATAATCTATAAATTATACTTATATATTAGTCATAAGATCCAGATTGAAATATAATACTATAGATATCTAAAACTGCAGGTGTTAAATTATCTAATACATCTATTAATGTTTGATATTTAATACCTTTACAAAGTAGTTCAAATTTCTGAAATATTTCTGTAGCAATTTTAATACATGCTGAATTTGTTAATTCTAAAAGTAAATTTCAAGATTTATGTTTTTTTGCTAATATTTTATTTTTACCAAAAACTGATTTATATAATTTTTTAAAAAAATCCCAATAAATTAATATTATATCTTCTTTCATATTTAGTGATATATATAATAGTCTAAGAATTGGATTAAAATTATTAATAATATTAGAAATTTTAGTTGAAATTTTTTGTCCTTTTTTTGTTTATTAAGTAAAGTTATTGCTTTTCTTATAAATAATTGACATGGAAAATCAACAAAAATTAGTATTTATTTTCTTGAAGATAAGTATTTAATAAAGAAATATCTATTATCATTTCAATAGTTTTAGATAATTATCTAAACTTTTAAGATTTAATTCTTTTATATTAACTATTATTGATCTATCACTTTGATGTTATTTTATAGAATTATCATATGAATGAATGGTTAAACCTTCTATTCTATTAAATTTCTTTATGATAATTAAATTATATTTTATTACATTATAACTTTGACTTAATAAATCAAAATATGTATATATTAAATAATAATTGATTTTTCAATCTTTAATATTTTTAAGATTATGAATTGAAATATTAATTTTTTATTATTTATATAGGAGAACTTCCTTCAATAGTTTTAGAAATACATATTGCTATATGATATGCAAATAAAAAGGATGTTGTATTTGAATTTCTATAACTATATATTGAATGATAATCATCAATATTAAAACAAAATTATTTATTTTTATTTTTTTCAAAATATAGATTTATCTTTTTAAAATAATTATTTGATATATTTTTTTTATATCTTTTTACTGTTTTATAAGATTTATAAGATACAGAAATTCCAAGTCTTACCATTATACCAATAGATTCAGAAGTAACAAAAGTAGCATCACATGAAGATAAATAAATTCCAATTTCTAATTAAAGAGAATTATTAAATTTATTTTTTAAACTAAATAATATATAATAAAATCTAATAAGTGATTTTTTCTTATTTTTTATATTATTTATTTTCTATTTGATGAAATAAAAATATTAACTAATTCATTAAAAAAACCTTTTAATTGTGATTAATCTTCAATTATATTTTGAAATTTTTTAGGATTTAATTTAATTTCTAAATGTAATAGATTTTGTTTTTTATATAAGCATTTTGATAATAATTTGATTTTTTCTTTTAATTGATTTAAATTATTTTTTTCATATTTATTTATAACTTTTTGCATTTTTTTTATTTTATTTATTAAAAGATCAAAATTATTTTATCATCATTATATTTAATATTTATATCAGATCAATTATTAAATTTAATTTATTATTATTTAAATTTAAAAATTGAGATAATTCATATTTTGTATAATCATCATCATTTCTAAAATATATATGTGTGTAGGGTTTTTCTTTTTGGAGAAAATTAAAAATTTTTTCAAAATTTTGAAGAAATTTTTAATTTTCTCCAAAAAGAAAAACCCTACACACATAATTAAATTCTTCTGATTTTTTTTTACTTTTACTTTTTCTATCTGCTTTTACGATTGATAAATAATGTGAAAAATATAATTGATCATTAATTTGAAGATTACTATAATTTTAATATGTATTATTTTTATAGCTTTTTCTTTACTTAATTAAGTAAATTTTCTAAATTTATATATATTTAAATTATTTTTATTACAATCCTTAACTTTATATGAACTATTATTAAAATTATTAGAATTCATTTTAGATATATTTTATATATATTTGATTTTAAATAAGAATTTTTAAAAAAATTTTATATAAATTTTATTAAAAAATAATAAAAAATATAAAAATATTAAAAATATTAAAAAAAGCTGAAAAATATAATTTTAAATAAAGGCTAAAACAGATTACAACCAAAAAATTAGCCTATCTTTTTTTGGTAAATATTACAAAAATACAATTTCAGACCAATAAAATTAATTATTTATGTAATATTTCAAAAATGGTTATCATAAATTTTAACTAATAATATCGCTAGAAAATTGAATGTCTATTATTCTTATCTGATTTATGATTAATAATACATCTTGTCTTTCAATTATTAATCACTAGCAAACTTCAAGCATATTTTTAATTCTATTTAAAGCCTTAGGTTTGTTTAAAATCTATTGTATTATTAATTGTTAAACATCTATTATATTAATTGTTAAACTTAATATTCTTAATGAATAATATTTACGTTTTTTGCATCATGTGATTTCATTTTTACCTTATTATCACATCATTATCATCTAACCTTTAGAATATTCATCTAATTTATATAATAAATGGTCAAAATTTATTAACATAAGTAATCAAAAAGATAAAGGAAGAATATAAACAATTACCTTTATTATCTTCACTTTCTGACAATTGAAGTAGAGTAGTGATACTGCCTTGATATCATTGACATTTGTTTTGGCAGAACTTGTAGATAAGACTTATTTTTTAATTGGAACTTTAGCTGATTTACTTATAGATGCACTTTCTGTTGCTGTTTCTATTTTATAATTGTCTCTATAAGTCTTATTAAACTTATTAAGAATTGAACTATAATTCAATTTAAAATAGTCATTTCTGAATTGTGACCTTTCTATTAGTTTTGAAGCACTAAATTTGTCAGCTGCATTTTCATAGACTGATTCTGGATCATCAGGAATAATAATAATACTGATAAGCTTAATCTGTACATCATTAAGTTAACAATTTATATTTGCTAACAGGAAGTTTAATTATATCTAAATTATGAAAGAAATATACATGAGTTTAATTAATTGAAGGGTCAGATCGTCTTTATTAAGATTTATTATTTGAAGATAATTAGTTAATTTTAGTTTATTTACAAATCTCTATCTCAAGTTATTCTTCAAAATAAGGATAATACTATTATATAAAATAAACTAATAGACATATATGTCTAATATGATAAATTTGATAAATATGGTAGATCAGTCAAATATAACCAATTTGTCATATTTGTAAACTAAGTCAAATATTAATTCATAGATCAATTTGATAATCTTTTAATAATATTAATATTGCAGCTAATAATACCAGGACTTAACATGTCACTATGACCTATTACAATATGCATAAAATCAATGTTAAAGCTTAAAAATATGTAATAAATAAAAATTAAAGTTAATATTTAATTCATTTCCAGCTATGACTTCTTGTTCTTGAATCGAAGTATCAGATTCAACTGGTTTCTTTTCTTACCTTGATCACCTGATTAAAACAAATACCAAATGCCAATAAGAAAAATATCACGAATTTAAAGATTAATTAATAAAAATTAAAAAATACTACCTGATTTAGCTTTAATCGTATTACTTACAGCAAATTTAACTTGCTAATTTGATTTGCTACAACCACTACTACCTTTTTCACAACCCATAATTATAATAAAAGTGAGTAAAAAATTGCAACATATTAATAAAAAATTTATATATAATACTTACTTGATGCTTGTGTTCATTTAACACATTTGTTTTAGTAGGACTTGCGCTTGTATTTTATTTGACATGTTAGTTTCAGTGAGTACTCGAACTTTTCATATTCTTGGCATTTTAAATAAATATTTTAATAAAAATATTGAAAATTAATTGTAATATTAAAATAAACGTAAAATTTCAAAGTAAAGTAAATATTATATTGTTCAGTTTAAACTTTTTATTATAAACGATAATAAGCTTTTATTTATATACAATAGTAAAGTTTAAATAGAATTTTATAACAGTATATAATATACTATATATGACAATATATAGATTTTGAAATGATTTATTAATAATAGAACATAAACAATATTTTGTCTAAGAAAGCTATTTATATACATTTATGGCCAAAATGTTTTTCTAATTTTTTATACACATTTCTTAATTTGTAAACTAATAACATCTTTCGCTTTTATTATTTAATGCCAAAAATAATTATACTCATATTGTTAATATTATAAAACTAATTGATTAAAATAAGGTTTCACAATGCCCTGAAGCTAATAGAACATGATAGAACAATTATTTCTTTGTAATACTAGCACTATTTTTATTAACTAGCCATTGTAAACAATAGCAAAACTTTTATATGAATTTTGTATTTAAACTTTGTAAATTTAAAATCTTTTACAATAAATCAAACATAACGAGTTATATAACAATAAATAAATTTTTTTCCCCTAACTTATATTTAAACTTGTATATAACGAACTTTTATAAACTTTTTATATATACAATGATATAAAATCCTTTAAGCACTTGAAAAATATGTAAAAGTCATCTCTCATTAACTAAACCATTCTTTTTACGCAAAAGTACAAACTTTTTTGGCTGTAATATACTTTAAAGGCATAAGCAGTTTAGTTTGTGTAAGTAATATATTAGGTATACAAATAGCCTTGATATTCTGAAACTTTGAAATTATCTATAATGTTTCTAAAGCATGAAGTGTAAATAATAAAGAAGTTGATAAAACCAAATTGCATGATGAAATAGAAATTAAAAGTGATAACGATGATAACAATAGAGAATATGATGATAACAACAATAGTAAAATAATTATGACAATAATGAAGATGATTATAATGACAATGATGAAGAAGATGATGACAATAGCGAGAAAAACATTTATTATGATGATGATGATGGTGACAATATGGATGAGAATAAAATATAAGAAGATTAAAAATTGGGAAATGATGATAATATTTTTGATTGATAGCAATAATATAATATTTTAAATTTATTCATTTACTTATTTCTTCTAGGTACTAGTTGTGATTAGTGCAATCAACTCAATTCCATTCTTACGAACTAAATTGGGCAAATCTGATTATCTCTATACTATCGCTAATGCTGTTTGAATACAAGCGAATTATAATTGGTGCTTGTAGATCAATACTTAGTAGAGGTAATATTATCACAAACACTAATAAGATAATTAGAAAGATTGATATAACAATTGTTTGTGATCCAACAATTATTACTGACAGTCTTTTTATTGAAGAAATTTTATACAAAAATAATAGTCATTAAAAATTACGAAATGTAATGTTAGATTATATATATTCTATTCTAAATTCACAATCACCACAATATAGCGATCTCTGAATTTTAAAGATCTTTATCGATATCTATTATGATGACTTTAGAACCTATCAAAACGTCTACCATTCGTTAGGCAACATGTTATTTGATATGAGAAAACATATTCGTAATCATTTCATCTTGGACTATGTTCCTTTTGGTGGTTATTTTGAAGATTTTATTTATCCTTTCATTAAGGATATGAAACAACTGGAAAAGGTAATATTTAGAAATGTCCAAAGAAGTGAATATTGGGTCATAGCTGGTTTTGAATGCGTTATCACAGATCTCCTTCAAGGCAATAATTTAACAGGTGTGAAAAGGCATAGCATGATAAAGAAGTGTAGAATATGTCTAGTTGCCAAAGAAAATGCAAAAGACTTTATACTAGATATTGCTAGTATTTTCCGTTACCATCATATTACTAACACTCAATTTGAAAATATATTCACAACTCCAATCCTAAAGCAATGAAATGACATTCAAAAGAATATAGTCTGCATACTAATTTACCAATACTCAATCATCTTCAATGAAAATATCATCTACAGCTACCGCAGGATATTTACTATTTAATAGCTGTCAAGACGTTGAAACTACTTAAATTGAGAATTGCCATAAAGGTGAATGAAATTTTATTATGAAATGAAAATTGTTTGAATATTCTTGTCAATGGTTGAAGCTTCTAAATTCTATCATTCATCTTGAATGCTTTATGATTTCAGACCATCTTCAATTAGAAATGGTTATGCCATTTATATTAAATAGATTCTTGGCTAGTAATTGATTGAAGTTATAAGAAATAGAAACTACAAGAACGAGCAAATCTAAATCATAATCAAGTAGTTAATACAGTCATTAAATGCTTGACAAAATGCTCTTAAATAGCATTTAAGATTTCATGACTATATAGTTTTTGAAAAGTACTTGAAAAAAGAACGAAAAGCATTAATTGAGGTAAAGTTTATTTATAAATGTATTGGTTTTACAAATTAGATTTTGAATTATAGGTGAATTATTTAAATGCCTCAAAAGAGCTCGGATGAATTAGCCAGAGTCAAAAGATCTGAAGCAGGAATCTCAGATTTATTCTAGATTCAAAAGATGAAACTAATGATAAATCTCGAAGTTGTATTAGATTCCTTGAACTGAAAACCAACTTTTTCTATATTAGGATCAATTGATTTCATTTTGTAAACTATATAATACTAAATATAGTTATTTGATGATTTCGTGGACCTTCTTAACTTTCACGCTAGTTGTCATTTATTGCGACATGCAAGAACTTTGGAACTCTTACGAATACTAAAGTTGGAATCAAGAAGATAGTCTATCGTATCTTTAAAAATATAGTATCACGTACGAATTGCAAGAACATCAAATTGGATTTATTAAAATGATATGCAACTTTACAATCTATTTAGTATCTTGCAGATGGTGGAATTGATCAACGAAACTTACAACTTAGTATTGGATTCATAAACATATCTCAAAATTATAATCATTTATTTAAAGATTGGTTTATTATGGAAAGTTCAGAGATAGATAACGAAGTACCAGAAGGTAATCAATATAATTATTCAGTATTATTCCAAATAGTTAAAGTGACTACATGCTGACATTTTTTAATAGTCTATTCACAGTCTAATCAGTTTCAAAATATAATGTTAAAAAAGCTAGTATCAGTTTAGAATATGAATATTGTCATTGATACAAGTTCTTTTGGAGCTGACTTGTCTCTTACATATGAAAGTTTTGGATATCATGCATCACTTATCAACAAAACTTGTAACTTTTATAAATACACATCTTATATCAATGCCAAAACCCAATGCCATTTGAATATAGATAATGTGGTGATGATTATGGTGAAAGTTATGCAGTCATCAAAGGTATTTTCAAGTACAAGAGCAATAATGAATATTACTTTCCATTTATTTATATCAATTGGCTTAAAGATATCTACAGAAAACATGAAAAATTGAATTGTCTGATACTTATCGCAAGTTTTTTTTATTAACGGTCATAGATAGAATTCAAAAGGCGCATTTTGTACACGATTGTAATGCAAGATGCAACTATAATCATAATCCAGATAATAATTGTTATTTTAAAAAATGACTTTTATTTTATGTTATTTAGATACATCCTTCGTCAAAGTAAATTATTTCAAGAAAGATTTAAAACTGTTAAAAATGGTAATTATTATCACCAAACTAATAATAAATATTTATTTTCATTTATTGCTTTTATGACATTTTTGACTTGCACTGACTTTATTTTTCTTTTCTCTAAAACTTTAGGTGACATAGTTTTTGAAAGGTAAAGGCTTAGTCATTTTTTTTTTGAATGAATTAATGGTAAGTTCTCCGTTTTTTCTCTTTAGTTTTGATTTAAATACTTTCAGATTACAAATTAATTTGTTATCTTTTTTTTCAATTTTATGTGTCATAGTAGACTACACTTCAGATCAGTTCGACAAATTTGTAAACAATGATTTTACTATTTACTATATGTTTAATGCACAAATTTATTTTTAAATAATCTGCATATTTACTTTAAATTATCTATACATTTACTTTAAATCATCTATATATTTAGTATAGTAATGAATAGTTTATCTATATAGTATTACTATACTGTATATTTTCTATATTAAATACATATTGCCGCGTTGAATTCAACTTAAAATAGGATAAATGGTTGCTGTATAGCTACTACATGACCCTGATTTCGTGAATTTCAGTAAAACTATATATTAATTCAAAAATTAAGTCATTTATCTAAAAAGAATAAATTGAAGTTAATATTTGAAGTAATATGCTTTCTTTATATTTATACTTTCTATTTAGATACTTTGTTCAATTATGAATCTTTTTAAAATCATCTTTACTACAATGAAGATAAGGCAGAATCTTTTTGATTATAAGTGTATGTATTCAGTTGATTGTATTAATAGTATGAAAACTTTTGTTTAATAAAT